TCCTCACAAAACTGAAACGCATTAATTTTACATGGACCAGTACTGACCACATTTTGCCGTTCATTTTTCACGCAGAAAAAGTAAAACAAATCAAAGTGAATACACTTTTTGGTGGATCACATTACGACGAACAAGACAATGTGCTGGATTTGTTGGCGCTGAATAAAGGGCGTGAAAAATTAGTTGGAGCGCACAAGATCACGATTTACGTCGAAGAAGATGTGTATTTGGCAACAAAATGGGCAATGAATCAGACCGAATTCAGTTTGATCCAAATGAAACGAATCACATCATACGATTGGAAACATGCCTTTTTGTCACTTTAAGTTTAGCTATCAAAATGTAAACTATTTTATTCAAAAAAGCGATATTTTCTTACAATTCATTCAAAATATATTTGATATATTAAACAAACAAAATAGTTTTTTTTTATTATAAACTGAAAAGGTTACGATTTCAACAATTTAAAAGATATTTTATATAATTTTTTCGACGGAGAATCAAAAGACAATTGAAAGTTAATGAAAGTCTATTTTCTTACAAGAGAAACCCCTTTATTAATGTTTGGAGTTCTGATTTCTTTGTTGACCATACTTGGACAAATCATCAATGAAAAAAATTACGAACCCATGCCCAAAATCCACATAACTTACAGCCATCGGTGTCGCATGTCTCGCTAAATTTCGTCTTGTGGTGGTGTATTATTATACAAACAGTCGTCTTGATGGACAAAGGTGTTGCGAAGGGCACCAATATTTTCCCAGAAACAAGATCGAGATATTACACGCTTATCATTAACTGCAATAAGGAAAAATATTACAAATCGATTTTTTAAAAACAAAATACCAAGTTGTACGACTTTTTTGCTCACGGCTTTTTCGTCTGTCTGAGTGTATGGATCCAATTGGCCTGGTGGATATGTGTAGCTTCAACGTCTTTGTTGTTCGCTGATGCTATTTGGGGCAAATGGGTCATTACAGAGTGCAGCATTAGATGCATTCGATGCATCCGATGAACATCGCCAACATTTGATGGCGCATACTGAAAAATTAAAGAGACACTTTTAATTCACCACAGAAACTGATTTGGTACTATTTTTGCTATGGATAGAGTTTTTAATAAACATTAGTGTTTTTTAAATATTTTTCAAATTCAAGTTTATATATGCGACTGCCATAAGCTGTCCGTACGAATTTACACAACAGTTGTCGTCGTGATTGTTGTTGCGTTTAAAATAAAGAACGGCTTTCAACACAAAATTCAAAACAGTTGAAACCATAATCATTACTTCGTTCTGTGATCGATTTGTCCCGTCTGATCTTTTCAACTCTTTCGATTCGCTAGGGGTACCACCGAAATTTCGAAGTTTTATCAGTTCAATTTGAAAATTTTACCAATTTTGGTGCTTTGATAAACTTGGAAGAACTACGCGTCAACTTGAGTCATATTATTACTGATCTGAAGTCACTTCCACATATCCTCACGAAACTGAAAGACATTCGCTTTAAAATAGCCTCGTCCAATTAACATTCGTTCGCCATGCAGAGAAAGTGAGCCAAAATAAAGTGAAATATTTTCGAAATGGATTACATTTCGATGAAAGAGACAAAGTACTTGATTTATTTGCGTTGAATAAAGAACGAGAGAAATTATTTTGGGCACGCAAGATCACGATTTACGTCAACGAAGATGTTTATTTGGCAACGAAATGGGCAATGAAAAAGACGGACTTTAGTTTGATCGAAATTGAACGAGAAGCATCATACCGTTGGGATTTCTAAAATTTAAATTATTTTTTATTATATTTTTCTTTATTCAAATTAGTTTCATGCAGTCATTATTTGTTAAATTAAAAATATTTGAAAACTGTCACATTAATTTGTTGCTTTTAAAAAGAAATGTTCACAGAAAAACAATGAATTGAAAAGCATTTTATGAATTTAAATGATCTTCTAGTTGAGTACACACTTTACTTAATATTTAAATTTGTACTCACGAATTGTAAGTTCATTGGAACGAAGTGTCAAAATTATTATTTGGAAAAATAACTTAGTTGTCATTTGAAGAAAAAACTCAATTGAATAACATTGTTTTCGACGCTTTAATTATTTTACATTAAATTAAAGGTAAGTCACTTGGTTTTAGTTTTTGTTATTTTTATCAGTGATTAGAATCACACTATTTGGGTACTATGTGATAATATCGGTAGCAATAACACTTAAAATAAAGCTCTTTTCATAGTCTTGCCATAACACGGGGATATTGTGAAATACATAGCAAACAAAGTGCTATTCATAACATTCTCTCGTTTTTGTCACGTACTATATTATAATATATCAATAGTATCATTTCATTCATTGATTAATTTTTTGCGTGTATTAAATATTAATACTATGTATTTCATGTAATCAATTGATTGCTCAAGCAGACAGAATGATCCAAGAAAAAAAACGCCAATCAAAGCGGATCAAGTGCCAAGGGGATGCAATCGAATGACGAAAAGAATAATCCAACTGAACGTGCTGTTGTTGCTGCGAACGGGGAACAACAATTTGCTGATATTTTCAAACTTAACATCGACTGTTTCGAAGTGATGTTCGACTATTTATCACTAGAAGATCTGGACGCAATGGGACAAACATGTAAACGCCAGGGGCTTTTATGTTAAAATGAATACTACGATTTCAGTAAATATTGAAACATAATGCTGAATATTCAATGAATATTGTATGTATATAAAGAATATACACAAATAAATGTGTATAATTGCATAAATTTGATGAATATTTCGTGAATATTTCGTGAATATTTCCTGTATATATGAAATATACATATTTTGTCATTCTCTTTAGTGCGGAATTTCTTCGTTCCTGTGTCGCTTACTGTGAATATTCACAACATACAGTAGAAAATACGAAATATTCACTAGAGATTTATGCCGTATATATGATGAATAAGACGTGTATATTGTGAATATTATGTGAATATTTCGTATATTCATATACATAAAAGCCCCTAGTGTAAACGAATGCAACGAATTACGGGACATTGTTTTCAACAAAACTATGGAGCCGCACAAGTAAAATTCAATGACGATGGTTTTTATCTTAACCATGTCAAAATAGATTGTTTCAACAATTTCTTACAAAACGTCAAAATTGCAAATGATTTCACCGATTATATAAATAGCACAGGTGACGATGGAGCCAACATTGCTTCAAAGTTGATGGATTTCGTAACTAAATTGAAACATTCAACATCAATTAAAGTTATTGATATTTTTGATGTTGAAATTGATGAAGAAAACGATGCAATAGTGGCTCGTTTTTACGAAATGAACGAAATTGTTAGAAAAGCTGAAAATGTGACCATTCGCATTTCTTATGAAAATGTGATTGATGCTTTGCTTGCACAATGTTCAAATATAAAATATTTATATCTCAAGAATTTTTCTATTCGAAATGAATGTAAATGGATGCATCAAATTTATCCAATGTTGGAACATATTGAATTGAGATGTAAAAACGATATTTTGGAAGGAACAGCACTAAAAACATTCCTTGAGCAGAAAATAGAGTATTGTGTAAAAGTCTGAACGTCAAATATGATACATTGGCAATCAATTATGATTACGTCGATGAAGAACTATTATTTTGTCGTTTGCTCAATGAGCTCCATGAGTCTGGATATTACAAAACGTTGCATTTTAATGTCAAACCCATGTATTCGCAAGAACATATCGATCGTCTGGATGAAGTAAAAGGACTGACGAAACTTGAGATCCATTCATTGAATCATATAGCTGTTGGTGCTTTTAGAAACTTAAAGGAAGAAATATACGCTTACGAAAGTGGTTTTATTGCTGATCTGAAATCACTTCCACATGTTCTATCGAAACTGAAACGCATTAATTTTGAATATGCTAGTTCTGATGACATTTTACCATTTATTCGTCATGCAGAGAAAGTGAACAAAATTGAACGCTCTAGAATAAAAACAACGTACTGAATGGTTGTTGTATTACAACAACAAATCTATGTTAAGAAAACGCTGTGTTTCGCTTTGATATAACAACCATTCTGTACGTTGTTTTTATTCTAGAGCGTTCAATTAAAGTTCAATGGCTTTCGAGTGGACCACATTACGATGCAGATGGCAATATACTTGATTTATTGGCATTGAACAAAGAGCGTGTGAAAATATTCGGAGCACGCAAGATCACGATTTACGTCAACGAAGAAGTGCATTTGGCAACGAAATGGGCAATGAAAGAGACGGACTTCAGTTTGATCGAAATGAAACGAGAAACATCATACCGCTGGAATTTCTAAATTTGAATTATTTTTTCTTACATTTTTTTACTCAAATTAAAAAATTTATTTAGCCAATTTTTCTTTAAATAAAAATACCCTGATATTTTCAATCAACAATTTTTTACAGATTCAATTTTAATTTTTTAAATAATAAATCGAATGAATTGAATAACATAAAATTGAGAAGTTATGTCATATATACTGTGATTATCACTGACAACTTATCGAATCTGCTGTGCTAATTCACTCTTTAAACGGTGAAATGAATTTTTAAGAAAACATGTCCACAGAAAAACTATGAATTAAAAAAGCAGACAATGAATTTAAACGATCATGTGGTTGAGTACACACTTAATATTTGAATATGTACTTAGTAGTCGTCAGTTCATTGGAATGAATTGTCAAAATATTTATTTGAAAAAATAACTTAGTTGTCAATAAAAGAGAAAAACAACTGAATTGCGTTGCATTTATTGCTTGAGTTATTTTAAATTTGATTGATGGTAAGCATTCAATTTCTTTATTTTGGTTTAGTTCTTTTCATTTTCATGAATGGTTGGGACCAAACTATTTGGATACTGTGTGATAATAAAGTCAACAATTCGGGATAGAGTGAAACTTGTTCCATAGGCTTTCTGTAATGAGACGATATACTGATACACTATATTGTGGAACACGCAATTCTATTCACACCATGTCATTTCGTGTATTAAATGAGCATTCTTTGTTTCATGTATCTTTACATACCGACGAAGCAGACAAAATGAGCCAAGAACAGAACGCCAATCAAAGCAGATCAAGTGCCAAGAGGATGAAATCGAACGCTGAAGAGAATCCAGCTGAACGTGCTGTAAACGATGATCAACAATTGGCTGATATTTTCAAACTTCCCATCGACTGTTTTGAAGAAGTCTTTGACTATTCACCGCTGAAGGATTTGGCCTCAATGGGACAAACATGTAAACGAATGCAGCGCATTGCGGGACATTGTTTTCAATTAAACTATGGAATTGCACAAGCATCCTTCGAAAAGTATGATTTTTACCTTGACGGAGTCAATTTGGATTGTTTCAACAATTTCTTACATAACGTCAAAATTCAAGATAATGATTTCACATGTAAACATAATACGAAATATGGAGCTTCACATAACTCAATGGTGAATTTTGTAACGAAATTGAAACATTCAACATCAATTAAAGGAATAAAAATTGATTCATTTGAACTTAATGAAAAAGATCGATCAAAAATGGCTTGTTTTGATGAAATGAAATCAATCCTTGGAAAAGCTGAACATGTGATCTATCTATATTGTTGCATTTGATACTTTGATTCCACATTGTTTAAATGTAAAACACTTATATCTGAACACAAACTTCGAATATGAAGAGAAATACGAATGGATGAATCGAATATACCCAACGTTGGAACACTTTCAATTAACATCGTTCAGAAAAGACATTTCGAAAGCAATACCAGCATTTAAAACATTCCTTGAGTTGAACACAACAATTAAGCAACTTGATGTCAATGCTCAACTCTTTGGTGAAAATAGAGCAGTGTTTAAAAGTCTGAACATAAAATATGAAACATTGGCAATCAATTATGATTACGACCAAATTGATACAATTTGTGGTTTACTCAATGAGCTCCATGACTCCGGATTTTATAAAAATGTGCATTTTTATTCTGAATTCGGGTTATCACAAGTAGAAATCAATCGTCTGACTTCAGTGAAAGGACTTATCAAACTTCGGGTCCAGATATTTGCATCCAATAGTATCTCTGTTGGTATTTTGGAAAACTTGGAAGAACTATGCGTCAATGACAGTAGATCTCTTACTGATCTGAAGTCCCTTCCACATATCCTATTGAGACTGAAACGCATCCAATTTGAATTTCTGAGCTCTGATGACATTTTGCCATTTATTCGCCACGCAGGAAAAGTGAACAAAATTAAAGTGTTTTTTTTTTGTTCGGGGTGGATTACATTTCAATGAAAATGATAGTATTCTCGATTTATTGGCGTTGAATAAAGAGCGTGAGAAATTGAACGGAGCGCGCAAGATCACAATTTACGTCAAGGAAAATGTGTATTTGGCAACGAAATGGGCAATGAAAGAGACGGACTTCAGTTTGATTGAAATGAAGCGAGGCACATCGTACAATTGGCATCATTCATTTAAATCGGATTATTGGCGTTGAATAAAGACTAAAGAACGTGAAAAATTAAATGGTGAGAGCAATATCACAATCTACGCGAAAGAAGAAGTGTATTTGGCAACAAAATGAAAGAGACGGACTTCAGTTTAATCGAAATGAAACGAGAAACATCATAAATTTAGGATTTATAAATTTGAATCAATTTTTTTAACTCAAATTAGTATTATGGAGCCATTTTTTGTTTTCAATCCAAAATATTTGATATTTCAAACATTTAAACCAACACTTTTCTACACTTTTATTCTAATTTTTACATAATAAATCGAATGAATTAATTTTAACAAAATTCAGTGTAACTTTGTCATATTTACTGTGTTATCAGTGATAACTTTTCAGATCTGCTGTACTAATGCTCTCTTTAAATGGTAAGAATGATTCTCAATAAGTTAGTGATGTTAAAATGTGTATAAATTAATTATTATACCTATAGCTCATAGTGATGGTTCCATTCGCTTGAATTCGATCGTTTTATTTCGATAAAGCTCAAGTTGATGTTGCCGTATTTGGTCGTCCAATTGGTAGCCAAAAAGACGTCGTCACGCACGTAAATCGTTATCTTCTGTGCTCCAGCCAACTTGGCACGTTTTTCATTCAACATTTTAAATTTAAAACTTCGCCTTTGCCCCATGACAATAATTTGATTTTGTACAAATTCGGCGATTGTCGAATGAATGGCATAATGTCGATGACAGTACTTCCTATGCAAAGACGTTCAAGTTTGACGAGTTTGACCAAAATCTCCATATCGACAGCATTCGCACCATTCAAAACGATTAATTCTTTAAGATTAGTCAGGTGTGAAAATTAAAAGCTGTTATCACACGTTCCAATTGATATAAGCTCGAAACCCTTGAGCGAAATAAACGAGTTTCCAAAATATTCACGGAGAAACCAAATATATACACACCCCGTCAAAAGTTTGAGGCCACCTATGAATTTTTCATACAAAATGCCTTAAAATGCCGATTTTTGTGGTTTCAAAAATACATAATACATTTTATTCTCAGAAATCCATAATTTTTAACATGTTTGTTCAATATCATAGGAAGAACAAATTAGTAAATTTTTAGCGAAAAATATTCACGGGTCTTGAAATGGCAAGTCTTTGAGTTCAACGATAGATAAAAATGACGATTTTTTTATGAAAATGAATTGTTTTTTATTTATTTATTTATTTATTTATTCACCGTCTGATCACAGACTGATTTTATCACAATTATTTACAATATCATTTGCAATGAAACACTACCCAATCGAATACCAGCCGCCAGTCTTTTCGACTTCGGAGCAGCAGATATCGACTGTGTCCATTGTATATTACTATTCATAACACAATTTTTCTCAGTCTATTTTACCGAATATTAAATAACAAATTGTCCAATTTAACAATACTAATTCTAAAAATGCTTCGCGATGCTGATTCCAAAAATGTTTCTCTTATTAAATTAAAATTCCTACACGCCACGTAAAATGGTTGACTATGTGCATATTCAGCTGTAAACGTTCTTACTCTAGTAAGTTCAGTATTTCTTAAGTTTCTTTGGTTTACGTCATATTGAAGTCTTGTGTAAACAATCTTATCTCTAAGTGAACTCGATACTATTCTACCCAATAAGAGATCGTAAATTAAAAATACAGAGGCATTTATACGCCGTCTCCAAAGCGGTTGAATATTTAAAGTATCACATCTAAAATAATACGGTGGCAATACAAAATTCTCGTCTCTTTGGTAAACAAATCTTAATGTCCATATCACAAAGTCTTTCTGAATTGATTCTATTCTATCTGAGTGTATACGGTGGTATGGCTGCCATACAATACTCGCGTATTCTAATTTTGATCTGACAAGTGCACAATATAATATTTTTGCCGTTTCGATCGTGAACTTATTTTTTAGTGTCCGTTTTATGAATCCCATAGCCGCATGTGCACTAGCTGTAATCGCATCGATGTGATTGACAAACGTTAGTTTTTTGTCGAAAATAACGCCGAGATCCTTGTGTAAATTGATTCGTTCAAACGTGTGTTGGCCGTTGTTGATCGTATATACGTAGTCGATTGTGTTTCCACCTTTTGAATACGTCATTACAAAGCATTTCTTCAGATTCAGATATAGGCTGTTTTCAGTGCACCAATCATTCAACTGATCAATGGAATTTTGGAAAGTAATGGCATCACTGGGCGATTGTATTTTTCGAATCAATTTCAAGTCATCTGCAAAAAGTAAAACAAGTGCATTTGACACGGTTTCGACAATGTCGTTAATAAAAATAATAAATAGACATGGTCCTAAAATACTTCCCGCAGGTACTCCTGATGAGACAGTGAAAGTACGTGACTTTCTTTCGCCGATTCCAACAAACTGTGTACGGGCTGTCAAATATCCATGGAACCATTTGACTAGTCGTCGGCCGAATCCAAATTTCACCAGTTTCTGTAGCATTCTTTTGTGGTTGACCCGATCGAAGGCCTTCTCGAAATCGGTGTACAACACATCCGTTTGACATTTTTCGATCATTGAATCCATCGTGAAATTTACCATTTGCAATAAATTTGTTGAGGTTGATCGACTTTTTACGAAACCATGTTGATTGTGGTTGATTTTTGCTTGTACAAATGTGTCGATTTTACTATACACAACAATTTCGAATAGTTTGGCTATTGTTGGTATTATCACTATTGGCCGATAGTTCGATGCGTTGCTCTTTTTACCAGACTTGAATATTGGTACAATCCTGGAATTTTTCAACGCTGACGGAACACATCCTTGATACAATGATTTCCGAAATAGCACTGTTAACGGGTTTGCCAAAGATTGTGCACAGTTCTTCAGTAGCTTCGGTGATATTCCGTCAGGACCGGCTCCT